CCTAATTTACGTCATCTAACCATGGGTCTCACCAGAGTTTCAGAGAATTTTTCATGGTATGGATACGAATGGGAAGAGTTTATTGTTGCTTATCTACCCAAATTGAAAACGCTTCAATTTCGAATGATGTTTTCTTTTCGTTGGTGTTGTAATGAAGAAAAAGTTGATGAACTATTGAACACATTTCGAACACCTTTCTGGCTCAATGAACGTCGTTGGTTCGTTCGATGTGAATATAATATACGTAGCATGGATATGGGTCTGATGGGTCTGAATGGTTCTCTATACACTTTACCTTATTCTTTTAAGGCATATCGTAATTTCCAAACACAGATGTTGTTCAAGTCGACTTGTCCTCATGACGAAGATCATTGGTTTTATACGAATGTTCGCGAAATCGATGACGTGTACAAAGATTTCAATTGGTCATTATGTCCTATTCGTTTTCCTAATATTGAACGTCTCACAATTGGCCTTCCTGCAAATGACGATATATGGCATGTCTTTCTAAACTTAGGACATTTGACTTTCTTGAACATACAACAAGTTGATGATACCGCATTAGATCAACTACAAGTCATCATCGACCGAGCACCACGCCTGAATACTTTTGTTATCAAAAAATCGCCAGCTTCTCTGGTAGTATTATCGAAAATCACAAGCCCGTCGATTTGTCAAATTGAGTGGAGAAATTTTACTATGATGTCAGATGAACTATTCGATCACAACGATTGTAGTACGTTCGTCACCTCATCACTCGGTCGTCAATGTGAAATTCTCACCATTGCAGTCAAAAAGACAGCAAATATATTTTATCTTATCAATACAATGTCTTGTCTTCGTTCATTAACTTGTCAATGTCAAGAAGATGATGGATATCAACTCGTATCGATGTTTCAACCGTTATTCCAATTACTAGAAGTAGATCGCTTCATGGAACGACTGAAAAAGGATTTGCCCTCGACATGTTCTATTCGAAGAGTTCCAACAGATTGTACTCGTGTCGAAATATGGATTAGTTAGCAACGTCGAAAACATGGACGATCTGCCGATATTTGACTATCAAATAGACTTTTATTCGTTTATATCAGCCATGAAACTTAACTCTTTCATTTTATCGACTAGAGAGAAAGCTTTTATTTGTCAAAGAAATATCCTTGAATATCAATTAAGCGCATATTTCTACTCAATGAAGCTAATTTTTCTTTCGAATTATAGAAGAATGTTTCGAATGCAACTTGTTCTATAGAAAACTAAATCTGTGACACATCGAAATTTTTATTATAAAAGGACAAGCTTTCCTACTCTGTGAAGATCTTAGAAAACTGGCTGACGAAAATTGATAGTTACTGATGTTACAGAGAGCATCCATGCACAATCTGAGACTGCAGGTATCGAAAAAAATAGCGATGAATAGGTTTTATAGAACATAGAGAGGTATCGTGTGATAATCACCATCAATTCGTGTTGAAATATCAGTATTCGATAAATACTATTTTTTATTCGAGCTACACTTGGCCAATAAAGTCTCTGATCACTTCATTTTAGTCTATTACGAATGATCTTGCTCAAATAAAATCTTTTGAAACACAGATTCTCTTTTAAATTTACATGTGATAGAGACTTTTGTTTGGTGAATTTCGAGAAGGAAGAAAAAGAACAACATGCTTTAAGATGAAAAAAATGACTTTATGCAAAAACAAATTCATGAAATGTTCAGGTGTGGATGTGGGTATGAGGGTGGGGTGTGGGTGTGGGTGTGCGTGTGGGTGTGGGTGTGGGTGTGCGTGTGGGTGTGGGTGTGGGTGTGGGTGTGGGTGTGGGTGTGGGTGTGGGTGTG